AAAGAGAATGGTTCTACATGTGAGTGGCAGGAATTCAGAATATCTGTCACACCTAGCATAAAGAAAAATGCATTCTGGATATGGTTATTTTGAGGATAAGTTGGTTTCATATCAATACTTAGTTATAAACTGGAATATATATGAAATTCTATAATGTAGAATATATTATAGTTTAGAAGCTTTTATTTAAAACAAGTTCTCAAATTGTCTTTCCATGTTTTTGATGTTATCATTGCAAGATGAAACAATGTTTCATTTATTTAGGTTCAAAGCATATGTGAAAAAGGATTACATGTGGGCCAGTCCAAAATAACAATTCTTGGCAGTCCTTCCATGGGTAATCTTTTTTCTTTTACATTTATATTTACCTACTATTTAGTTGCCATTTAAAAGCATATTATCTCATATAATTTTGCTGTATCCTTATAATTAAATTCATGTGTGCTTGATCATATTTCCAGAAAAGGAGACTAGACTGAAAAAAAGCAGTTTTATCTTTTGTTTCTGATTTTGCATACTTCAGATTGATCAAAGGTCACCTTTTTATAAAGTATCTTATTCTAGTCCTAGTGATTTTGAGAAATGTAATTAGTTTCATGTTTTTTCTGATTTTATTTTTGCTTTGGTTAAAAATCGGCTGTCCTGGCCGGGCGCGGTGGCTCACGCCTATAATCCTAGCACTCTGGGAGGCCAGGGCGGGAGGATTGCTTGAGCCTTAGGAGTTGGAGACCAGCCTGAGCAAGAGCGAGACCCCATCTCCACTAAAAATAGAAAAAAAATTAGCCAGTCAACTAGAAATAGAAACAAAAAATTAGCCAGGCGTGGTGGCTGTAGCCTGTAGTCCCAGCTACTTGGGAGGCTGAAGTAAGAGGATCGCTTGAGCCCAGGAGTTTGAGGTTGCTGTGAGCTAGGCTGATGCCAAGGTACTCACTCTAGCCCGGGCAACAAAGCTAGACTCTGTCTCAAAGAAAAAAAAAAATCAGCTGTCTTTACTGTCATTACATTTCTTTAAAAAGGTATCTTTTATCTGTAGGTTAAATATTTGAATTTTTTTGTATTCGTGTCCTACTAATTTAAATTAAAATTCTTTAATTTTATTTTATTTAGGTATCTATCTTTCTAGGTATGCTGATTTATTACAAGCTAATCCTTTGGAAGCAGGAGCAATGGGTGATGTTGTTATTTTTAAAATAATGAAGGTAATTTAAACTTTCATATTTCACATATCAAAGACAACATTTGATTTGGATTTTAATTTTAGATGCTACCAAATCTTTAGTTTGATTAAAAGTGTGTGCTTGCTGATGTTTGGTATGTAAGGATACTTTTGAGAGTGGCTTATTTCCCAAGTTTGATTTAAGCTAACTGTATTTAAGAGTTTGTTTTCTTTTCCAAAGAATAGAGAGGATAATATGTTAGTAATGTGATTTATGTTAGTGAAGAGTATTGTGAGTAGAATTTCTATTTACTTGTTATTAAACAAATTCAAATGACTTTTTTTAATAGTTAACTTTTTCTTACTGCTTCAATGTTGGTAAAAAGTGTTGGGTGCTAACTATATTACCAGGTATTAAATGGAAAAAATGGTTGATATAGGTAATCTATATTCAAAAAAGTATTCTGTAATATTTATGTTATATAGTCAATATTTAGGTTTTACCTAAACATTTAAAAGGTTTTCTTTATTTTAGGGTAAAATAAAGAGTATATACGACCCCATGGGTGTAAAAAGTTTGGAACCCATGTCAAATAAAAGTGCTTTGGACCCCACACCAAAGCATGAATGTCATGTGTCGAAGAACGTCAGTAGGATTACATCACTTTTGGCTTACAGAGCCTATGAACTTACTCAGGTAGGTGCCTAGATCCATTTTTATGTTATGACCTCATATGTATTTATTACCAAATCCTTTAAAATATCCCCCTTTCGCTTCCCTCTGCCACCACACCAGTCTAGACTCTGGTTTCTGTTTACCACTGCCAGACTCCACGTCTATCACTGTTGTTTGTTCAGTGTTTCCAAGATAGCTCAGAAACATGCAGTAGCTCCTCAAGCCCAGAGAGTAATAGTCAGACTCCTTAGCGCTTCCTGCCCGTAGACTGTGACTTCCAGCCTGATTTTTGTATGATCACTGCCCTTAACACACCTCATTTTATTTGGAAACCTTGGCTTTTCCTGGCCTAGAAAGACCTCCTTCCTACCTAATAAAATACTACGTATCTTTCAAGGTAAAGTTGAAGCTCCTTGAAATACCTTAATTCATTAACATTTTGTACTATTGATTTGATATTTTCTATTTTTATTAACATTTTTTTAAGA